GGTTTGGACAGCATGCCGTGCCGCAGAAGCCCCAAGCTCTGTCAGGTGCCCTAGACCCTAACCCTTTAGGGTTCGGGGTTTAGGGTTTAAGGTTTAAGGTTTAGGGGTGTAGGGTTTAGGTTGGGTACTGCCGCCACCCAGTAACAGTCTATATTAGGGGTCCTGTTAAGGGCTATATACAACCATATTATACATATTTTGCAACTGTTACTGAGTGGGGGCAGTATCCAATGTTTAAGGCTTAGGGTTGGGACCCCCCACCCTTTAAATAGTGGTGTAGTAGGAATAAAATACGACCCTAACAGTTGATCCTTATTCTCCCTTCTAATTAGCCACTACAGGGTGAGGGGTCCACCTTACCTAAACCCTAAACCCAACACCCCATACCCTCAACCCTGTTGCATCAGGATGTCTGAGAAGGCCACCGGGCCAGAAGGACTATCCGCCTTTCTGGGTTCCCTTGGACTCGGTCGAGTTTGTCTTCCAGGTCGACTGGAGCTGCTTCCCCCGCTTCCACCTGCGCACACTAATGCGAACAGCAACAGTAACCATGATTTAGTCCCCCTTAAGTAGATAGAATATGGTGTTGGGCTTTGGGTATGTTACAATAAGATCCCCCTGTACCCCATATATATATATATACTGTCTACTTAAGACGGACTACAATCATAGCAAGAGCAAAAGTGATCATTAGTTATCATATCGGCAATAATCATAATAATAGTAGCCACCACCAGCTTGGGTTCAGGTGGAGTGGGACCCCTAACATCCCCCCAGCCACCTGATGCGATTGCGTGTAAATCTGTGGGCAAGGGGTTTGTAGCTGGAGGAAACCAAGGTCTTCAAATGCCTGGCTGTTCTGTCAAGGCACAGGAAAATTCAGGTACGCTTCTTGAAGACAATTCAGCTCCCACAGCTGATCTGCATCTGCAGCTCAGCATGTCTCGGCCATTAAGCAACAAATCTTGCACCAGAGGCTTTCTCTCGTGAGCCTTGTTCAGTGGACAGGTCGCCAAATGCTGGAACTGCAAGACGTGGCGCTTTGTCCTCTTGTCCTGTCAGAAGGTACGCAATTTTGCAAGAAACCGCAGAAGGCGACAATGCGCTTGGTACTGTGCCTGCTGACCCATGAAAATTGTCCTGCAGCTTCTGGGCCTTTGTTGAAGCGTACTGATTTCATTTGTGGCTTTCTCGGCGCAGCCTGGTGCGACGCGGCTGCAGTGCATGCCTACGTGGTGTCATATCATGTCTGGACATTGGTGGCTTCTAAATGCACGGCGCACGACCTGTAAACGTCTTTGAGCTGGCTTTACCTACTTGGCATGTGCTGAAATCTTAACGTCGACCTTCTCAGGAGCCTCTGCCACCCTTGTCAGTGGATCGTCCTGCACAAGGAGTTCAGCAATAGTCTCTGGCTGCTCAAACATTGGTTTTCCTGCTTCAGAGAGCACACACTAAACCCTAAACCCTAAACCCGGTTTAGGGTTTAGGGTTTAGGGTTTAGGGTTCAGGGACATGCAGCGCAGCAAAATGAAAATTCATCAGCCGGTGGATCTCGCAAACATGCGGACAAACACAGGCAGCTGTAAAAAGCTCACTCACCGGTGCTTACAGGGGAGTGGGGGATTGCATATCCATACAATAATCTGAAGTCGTCCCCATATTCACTCGTGCACTCCCTGTTAAGCAGCGGTAAGCCCTAGACCCTAAGCTCTAAAATCCTGAGCCTCGAGCCCTGAACCCTATTCCACTCAGAGATATACACTCCCCCAAACTAACACGGAAACCCATATAGTCCCCTTTTAGAAGGACTGTAGTCTTTCTAGGGCCCTTTTTGGGCTTCCATGTTAGTTTCCGGGAGTGTATCCCGCACATCCCTCTATAGTCCACTTAGAGGGACCCGTAGCAAATTTAGTAGTCTCCACGTTGTTGTCCATTCTCCGCTGCTAAGCACCAGTGAGATCATGCTTGAGTAAACCCTAGAACCCTATATAACCCCTTTATAACCCTAGTAACCCTATATAACTTCATATAACCCCTATAAACCCAGTATAACCCCCATACAACCCTATATAACCCCCATATGAGCTGCAGTCTAAACTCCTAATATCCCCCTTAATATGCCCTGTATAATCCCCTATACAATCCCCTATAGAGCCGCCTTTAAGGAGTTTAGGCTATGGTTCATATAACCCCTATAAACCCCAAATCCTTAACCGCCTCCAACTCGGTAGAACTGGGGCTCAACGGCTGCGTCTCGGGCTTGCTAAGCAGGCCACCTTGACGTTAAAACTACAGTTTTAGGGGTATAAGGGTTTAGGGTTTAGGATTTAGGGGTTTAGGATTTAGGGGTACAAGGGCTTAGGGTTTAGGATTTGGGGGTTTAGGATTGAGGGGCTTAAGGTTTAGGTTGTATATATATATATATATGCTGTGGTTATATAGGGATAATGGAAATAACATGGAAAGCACTACGTAGGGTAAGTCCACTGCATGCACCAGCAGGGGGAATCCGGTTTAGGGCTTAGGGTTTAGAGGAATGGAAACTACTTATGTACTTAGGTCTCCCTCTCCGGGGACGATGCACAGATTTACAGGGGCATACAAGGATATGTGAGGATCTGTAGAGGGAATGGATAAGAAAATGAAAACTATGGGGGCTCTTGGGACTGCAACAGACCAGAAGCTCTACCCTAAACCCTAAGCCCTAGCA